TGTTCGCAGGCTGGCCAAGCCCCCCAGTGGGGACCCTCACCCCATGAGGGTGTGGCCAGCCTGGGTGAGGGGCTGATGGCTGTTTGCAGGCTGGCCATGGCCCCCAGCCACCCAAGCTCCCAGTGGAGGCTGGCTGGAAGCAGGTATCTGGGATTTATTTGCCTTCTATAATTGAAACTTCATTGCCTTGAGCCGAGGCCACAACCGGCCAGGGCAGGTGGGAAGCTTGGCTTCCTCCATCTCCGGGGCAACCAAGCCTCCTGCTTGCTCCAGCGCTGTGGCTGCCGGCCGCCATCTTGGTTGGGTTAATTTGCATATAGCCGCTCTGATTGGCTGGTGGGTGTGGCTTGGGTGTACCAGAGGTGCGGCCAATTTGCATGTTTCTCTTTTAATATATATATCAGTGGTTCTCAACCTTCTGGCCCTTTAAATACAGTTCCTCATGTTGTGACCCAACCATAAAATTATTTTCGTTGCTACTTCATAACTGTAATGTTGCTACTATTATGAATCATAATTAAATATCTGATATGCAGGATGGTCTTAGGCGACCCCTGTGAAAGGGTCGTTCAACCGCCAAAGGGGTCGCGACCCACAGGTTGAGAACCGCTACTCTAGGGTGTCACAGCGGACTTGAGTGTAGTCTTCTGCTTCTCAGGGAAGGTCATCTGGAGTTCAGATATATATATATACACATATATATATGTTCATCTTTTGCATATATATACATATATACACACACGTGTGTATTCATTAAAACTAGTAATATAAACCCTTTGGAAACTACAGAAAACAAAACAATCCTCCATCCTAAGAATGTCTCTGCTTATTTTTAAACATAGTGAAAACATACTTTACATAGAAATTTTATTCCCCTATTTTTGCCTTGTCTTTTTCTAGTTTTTGCAATCATTATGTTAGTCCATTAAATAGATACAACCAAAATATATATAACCATTTCCATTTTGTTGAACTTTTGGGTTATTTCCTGCCGGAAGCCGGTCCATCCTTGCTGCTTGACACAGTCGCTGCAGAAAAGAAACATCTGCACAGCATATGTTTCAAGGGACCTGGCGTATATAGCATAGTGTTCTTAATATGTTTGCTCCCCTTAGCGCTATGTGTTTTAACCAAGGTCACCTCTCCGAGAAAGGTTGTTTCCCCAGGTAGGGATTTTTCCCTGAAGTTAGGGAGG